TGGGATGTCATTTGTGATGTCACTTGATTGACAGGTGGGATGCCCCAGCCACATGTCAAATTTGGCCTGCAGAGCCAAAATGGTTCCTCACCCCACCAAAGGCAGGGCTGATGTGTGGTGTGAGCAACGGTTAAGTTTAGATCAGCATAGCTGCCTGCATTTTTGAGGAGTTTGGGGCCCAAACCAGTACGTAGTTCAGAGTCCGGACTGAATGACAAACCAAGAGACAGGATCAAGAACCAAGCCGGAAGCTGGGCCCTAAGAATACAGGAACACAAAGGTTTACCTGGAACAAGGGTGGTCTGTGATAGTCCCTCCTGTCTAGGTGAATCCAGCCTGGATGGGCAGGATTAGTGCAGGGCCTAGGCAGACATTGCATCATACAGTCCAGTGGTTCACTGATCAGGGCTGCTGCACACAGACGCAGAGTTCCTAGTTCAAGCCCTGACGCCACTGTGCCACCATAGATTCTCAACAGTATGGGCACATAAGAATATAATAATCGCCTTGCTTGATCAGACCAAGGCCCTCTCTAGTCCATCATCCGGTTTCCACTACCAGTCAGTTAGATCCTCCTGATGGTGTCACACCAGGACCAGAGCTAGCTAAACTCCGAACTAGGGAGAGATGCAGTTTTAATTGCGTCGATGAGAGAGCCTCACCTACTGAGACAGGATTGGGCATCACACTAATTACACTGCTTTAATAAAACGGAGTGAAGTGTCAGCTTCACTGACACACTGAAAGGCGTTAATGGAATCCTATCATAACAAATAAGGGTCTTTATTGCATTATGCAATGGCACATCACAAAATAGTAGCACTTCTTCATGGGGAGCATGACATTCTAAGTGAAAAGTGGGAACAGTGCCAGATGTAGATGTTTTTCATGTAGCTGGCATGAGGATGACAGATTTCCTTTTAAATTCACCTTGTTCTTCCTTCCAAAGGACTCATTTCAGTTAGCCACCCTCCCTCACTCCAGTGCTATTGTGAAAAGAGTGGCGTTCTGATTCTTAGAAACTTAGGCCCTAAACATCCTGGAATGGCTTGTTACCATGGTATCTTTGGTCTTGATAACTCTTACAAGGTCAGGCAAAACAAACAAACAAACATAACAGTTATGTCTAATTTTTCTCTTCTGTCTTAGTTGGACGTGTACCAAACTGCCTGTGTGTTGTCGTTGGTTACAGAAGAAATTCTGAAACATCCCCCTCCCCTACGGCAACTTGAAATTTGCTGGGAGAATTGGTAGACCCTTTAATGACTTTGCTATGTAGCATTCTTAAGGAAATCAGCCCTGAGTGCTCACTGGAAGGACAGATCCTGAAACTGAGGCTCCAATACTTTGGCCACCTCATGAGAAGAGAAGACTCCCTGGAAAAGACCCTGGTGTTGGGAAAGATGGATGGCACAAGGAGAAGGGGACGACAGAGGACGAGATGGTTGGATAGTGTTCTCGAAGCTACCAGCATGAGTCTGACCAAACTGCAGGAGGCAGTGGAAGACAGAAGTGCCTGGCGTGCTCTGGTCCATGGGCTCACGAAGAGTCGGACATGACTAAATGACTAAACAACAACAACAACAAAATGTAGCATAGAATGTTGTAGCATACATTGTGATGCACTGTGCTAGACGCTGTTTGACTTTTAATTGCATTTAATTGCTTCATATATGTATGTGTTTGTATACACACACACACACACACACACACACACACACACACACATTTTTGTATTCCATAAAGTACAAATGTTAATACAATAAAATACAAGCCAGTGCGGTGTAGCAGTTGGGGTGTTGGACCCTGGGAGGCCAGGGTTCAAATCCCCGCTCAGCAATGAAGCTCACTGGGTGACCTTGGGCCAGTCACTGCCTCTCGTCCTAACCAACCTCATAAGGTTGTTCTGAGGATAAAACGGGAAGTGGGGAACTATGTTCACCACCTTGAGTATCTTGGAGGAAAAGTTGGTATAGAAATGAGATTAATAAATGAATAAATTCAATCTAAGATATTAGGGAGTGGATATTAGGAAGCCGGTCCACTGTCCCTCAGACCTTGTGGGGAGGGGGAGGCTGGACTATATTTTGAAGGGGGAGGAAATGAATTAATTCCTATGCCCCACAAATAACCCAGAGATGCATTTTAAATAAAAGCACACATTCTACTCATGTAAAAACATGCTGATTCCCAGACCGTCCGTGGGCCAGATTTAGAAGACGATTGGGCTGCATCCGGTCCCTGGGCCTTAGTTTGCCTACCCATGTGCTAGACTACCATAGTTACTCAAATCTAACACTCACCTTTTTTGGCCAAATTATGTTGCAAAAATTAAGGTGCGCATTAGATTCAATGGCACATTTATATTTGCCAGTGAATACTTTTTTTGGTTTCAAGGTTCTGAAAATTGAGCTGCACATTAGATTTGATGGCACATTATTCAAGTAAATATGGTAGATGTTACCATGCTTCCTTGGGGGAGGGGATTAAGAGAGAACTTCTGTTATACTGGTTTTATGCAGAATGGGGTTGTTTGTTTCTTTTTAAAACCCCAGGCCCAAAGCTTTCTGCTGCTGACTTAAACAGATTCTTATTTTTCAAAAAAGAAACGAAACTGAAAAAGTGACCTTTATCAAAACAGATAAGTACTGCAAATGGAAGCAATATATTACAGTATCAAGGGTGCTGTCACCATTCAGGAATATGAGATAAATCAGAGCTCTTATATGACACAAAATGGAACAATAAACACTTCAACAGATTTGTGTGTAGATGCTCCAATAAAAGGATTGTTGAAAGTTGTAAAAGGACTAAACATTAATGGGAAAGATATCTTAAATAATGTTATTGCACAGAGGCAAAGAATACTAACTATGAGAGAGGGCATTCCTTATTATTTGCCATCCTTTTACAACACCAGGAGGATCATGTTGTTGATTTTCTAGGAAACACACAATATATGTTCAGTCATCACCATATGTAGCAAAACTGCTTCGTATGTCAGGTTTGGTGCTCATGGATTTGCTTTTGTAAGGTACAGTGCTGATTAGTGGTGTGATGACCTGCTAGTGTACGACTGTCTTCTAGGCACATTGACCCAAGTCTGGGGTTCTATTTTGAACCCCAAACCATCTTGGAATGCAAACAAAGTGATGTTCAGCTTGTAAGAAGAAAAGCAATAAAAAATAAATCAGAAACAACAACAAAAAGGAAAGCACAAGAAATTGGCTCCTCAAGGATGCAGCTTTGACACATCCTTCTCTGCTGGTGTTAACAAGCGGAACCTGCACTCTTGCTCAGGGTTCTGGCCAGCCATTTTTAAAGATATTCCTTTTAAGATATCTGTTAAGATATTCCATTCAGCCATCCCAGCCCCCATTTTTCTTTCCCCTTTCCTTCCCCACCATGCTGAACATTCTCAGTCCTCCCTGGAATGTTTTGGGGGCTCTCCTTCTAAGTTTCTTCCTAAGGATTTTGGTACTTCTGCAAACTGTAAGGTTCCCCTGAGCATAAGAATACTTCCGTCTCGTGTGTGGCTGGTGCCATTTTGGCTGCTTAAACTTGCAGAACAAGCTCAAGCAGGTGCCTAAGGGCACACTCTGCCCTGGCATGTCTCTTTCCCGGATAAAGGCATCACAGCCCTCTCCACCCATGGAGCCATTCATGGAAGTTCCTCCATAAGGGCTGAACTACAACTTACGTCAAGCACCTTTTTTATTCAATAAGAATAGCTTTAAAAACGCCTTCAACCCTGGCCACTTCCTTTTTCAAGAAAAAGCAGGCATGTGTCTTCTACACAATCCAAATGGGGAGCAAAGCATGTGGATAGGAGGGGGTTAACTATTTACTACTCCCTGTACTGGTTTCACGACAACTTGGCTGCTGTTTGCCCCCCAAACCCCAGCCCGAAATCACCTGAATCACTTGAGGGGCATTTCTGCTTTTTCTTGCAAAGGTAAAGAGGCCAGTGGTAAGCACACTTTTTAAAAAAGTGTTCAACACAAACATTTAGTTAGACCTTAGACATAGGCATTTACTCTTCTGAGATTCAAAGTATGCCCAAACTCTCCATCATGCCCATGCTTACATGGTTCTATGTGGGATTGTCCTTTCTTAAGAATGTAACAAAGAAATTGGCTTTATCAAAATTCCTTTGTGTTGTAGATGTATTTAAGAGGTGCCTTAGGTAAAGGTAAAGGGACCCCTGACCATTAGGTCCCATCGTGACCGACTCTGGGGTTGTGGCGCTCATCTCGCTTTATTGGCCGAGGGAGCCGGCATACAGCTTCTGGGTCATGTGGCCAGCATGACTAAGCCACCTCTGGAGAACCAGAGCAGCGCACAGAAACGCTGTTTACCTTCTGTCCAAAGCAGTACCTATTTATTTACTTGCACTTTGACGTGCTTTCAAACTGCTAGGTTGGCAGGAGCTGGGACCGAGCAACGGGAGCTCACCCCATCGGGAGATTCGAACCTCCAACCTTCTGGCCGGCAAGCCCTAGACTCTGTGGTTTAACCCACAGCGCCATCAGTGTCCCTAAGAGGTGCCTTAGGTCATCTTAAATAGCTCTTGAATATAGGGCCACAGCTCAGTGGGAAAGCATCTACTTTGCATGCAGGAATCAGAGTGTCCCAAGTTTAATTCCCAGCATCTCCAGGTATGGCTGGGAGTGTCTTTGTCTGAGAACCTTGGAGAGCCACTGCCAGTCATAGACTATGCTGAGCTTGATTGGCTCAATAGTCTAACTCAGTGTAAAGCAGTTCCCTAGGTTCTTATGGTTCCTATCGCTTGCAAATTTGCCTCAATGGCTTATGCAAATAGGTTTCTTTATTCCTGGGGAATATTTGCTGCTGTGCCTCTGGTGGCAAAATAACTTGAGCTGACCCTGTGTTCTGAGGACAAACCTGGATGCAGGAATCAAGACTCTTACTCATTGTTGCATCACCCTTGGGAACATTACATGAACAACTTACACCTATTTTGCTTTCTCAGATGGGTACCTTAATTGACAGTGGCCAACTGTTTCATAATTTTAGGCTTGTTCTACACTCATGGGGGTTTCCCACCCCATCTATACTTTCAAACTTACTTCCTTAATTTTCCTTTCAAATCCAGGAATGAGATGGCCCAGATTTTTTACCCAGTAAAAGCCTTCATAAGGCATTTCAAATAGCATTTGGATGTTGGGCATTAGTGCCTCCTGAAAATCATCTGTTTTGTATATGTACTGCCTGTAAATCTAGCACTGCCTTTCAAAGATTAGCAATTCCTCAGAAAAAAGTGAGTAATTTTATTACCTCAGTCATTTGGTTTTCAATACACTACAAAGGTCAAGGAGGAATCAATGCTTTATTGTGCAACAATACTACTAAAAGTGAAACAGATAAATGAAAGCAGATTACCTGAATTGTTGTGTACTGAATGTACTGTAACTGTTGTACGCTGAGATTCCCCACAGGAATCTGGTTGGCCACAGTGAAAACAGGATGCTGGACTAGATGGACCATTGACCTGATCCAGTGGGCTTTTCTTATGTTCTTATATAAACCTTGGTAGCAGACAGCTACTTTAAGAAGTGTGAGCAGAGTCTTGGTGCTGGCTGAGCCTGGTGGCAAGGCACCTACTGTTATTTTTTAATGTGGGCTGCCGGCAAGTCCCACATAATAGCCATCAACATTCCTTCAATAGACCCTAGGTGGGCAGGGTGCCTGCGGGGGTGCTGCCACTTGGGATTCCACTGCCTGAGGCAACCTCCTCAGTCCACCTCATGGGTGAGCCGGCCCTGTGGAAGGGCAAATTGTGCTTTGATTTCAGCTACTTTGAAAGGGGGAGAAGGGATGCTGGATCCTCCCGTCAACCTCCGGCACAGTGGACAATCTCAGTGGAGGCAGCCACCAGATGAGAGAAGGCTACTCAGGAGGCAACTGCAGCTGATCAGGAGCCTGAACAAGAGGGTGCCCTATGGGAGCAGGCCCACCTACCCCATAGGTGCGCACATTTACAATCTCAACATTCTCATAAAAGCTAGAGAGTCTCATCATTAAAAGCTTGGTGGGCAGGCTGTGGTAACTGTTAGGACATCTTCTTTGATTCCATCCAGTTCTGAACATCTTGCCTGATCCCTGAACTCCTGAATTGTGACTCGTGAACTCTGCTTCCAAGCCTGTACAGTTACTTGCCTGAATAAATATTTCCTCCTTACTTACATGTAAGAGCCTCTCTCTGTGTGTGTTGGGTGTGGGAGGGTGTGTGTTGGGAGGGATCGTGATTCCCTCCAAAACTGCATTCTTTTTGTGGGGGATGGGGAGTGACAGATATAAAGGCAATGCTATTTGGAAATGGAGGGACAATAGTTCAGTGGCAAATCACACACCTACCTTGCAGAAGGGCCTGGGTTATAAAAGAGGATCAAGCAGTAGGAAATAGGAAAGACCTCCACCCCTGGGTGTGGCAGACAGTTATAGTACTCGATACTTGGTTGGATAGACAGCAGGTATATCATTTAAGATTTTTATATTGAACGTTACACTAATTCAACTAACAATTAAAAACCACACATTCTCATTTTAAAAATCAGTTTTGTTGTCTTCAAGATATTTGCAATCCATACAGTCAAGCAAAGGTTTGATAATATTGTATGCTATTAATCAGTAACCAGAATTACTATTGTGCTTGTCCTCAGTGTGATGCTTTCAATTGCTACTAATTCTGGATCCTGCCATCCACAAGGGTGCATGTGAAAACTTGATATCCATTTCAAAACTCTTCCTTTGATTAGGTTATCCATGGCTTTTCCTCCCTGTACATGCCCCAGGCAAATGAAGTAAGAAATGCTGATTGCGATCTAGATTTATGCTTAATCACAATGGCATGGGTAGGTGTGAATACTCCACCCCACCCCACCCCCCTAACTACAACTGTTTTCAAACACACTGTGGGGTAATGCAGAATCAATCTACAATGAGCTTTTATTTTCAGCATAAAACCAATTTATCAAAAAGCACTTTGCAGGGGCAAAAATATGTGCAGTAGATCTTGATTGTGCATGGACTATGGGGGGGGAGTACTTGATCTCCATCGATTCTAGAATAAAATGTTGCGTGAATGCAAACTATCTGCAAACGGGAGTAAATGAATGACCACTTTCAAAATTGGCACCAATTCCTTAGAGGCTCCTTGGTGGAAATTCTCAAAAAGTACCTTCCCCTGACTCGCCAGATTGCAACTTTCCATGTCTGAGTAATTTAATGAAAAAGAAAGTGATTGGCAGAACGGGTCAAAAAATTCCATTCACTCTTTCTGTGATCTTTAGGGCAGGAGCAACCTGTTCAAATTATGAATGTGAAGTTATATAAACCTGGGAGGGCTGAGAACATGTCTAAACCTATTATCTGATGCTGATGTGTACAGGGAACAGAAGCACAGCAACTAAATCCTATCACAAAGCCTTGATCTCAAGGTCCTCCTGTCCTAGTAACAGTGTAAATATTTGGCATTCCCATAATGAACGCAGCACATTAGTGATGTTCACAGAGATGAAATAATATGCATGAGATCTACTCATGGTACAGTTGTTTATTTTATTACAATGGGTTTCCAAAGATACCACAAGAATGACTGTCCTTCAACGCCCTCTTAATTATCTGTGTGTAAGTCATTCAAAAACCAGTGGCAAAATTAACAAGCCTACTTGTAATCCTCCTTAAGGAAAATAATAAGCTCAAACATGAAGGAATTATCCATTGTCACTTCTTCAGACAATACCAAATCTGGGCTGTTTCATGCATTACAAAGAAGGCAGAAAAGATGAAGTGTGTTTCCATACATGACACTAAGAATCATGGGTGTAGCCAGAGGGAGGCAGGGGGAGCAGCTGCCCCCTCCATCAAGTGAATAAATAAAAATACTTAGCTAAAAGTAGAAATAATCAGAATATTTGAAATTGAAATGTTTGCTAAGGTCTTTTACCCTACCACAAAAAGGCTCTGCTCATCTCTCTTGCTCAGCCATGCACCACTTGTACCACAGAGTGGTCATTCAGTACCTTGCGGAGAGAAAAGACCTGGCTAAGGTCAATGTGATGACAGGAGAGCGTCTCAAGGGGTTGTGCTTACTGTGTGTGCACAGAAAAACTGCACTGGAAAAAGGAGGAATTTGAGAAGGAAGTGGTGAAAATATTTTCAGCAAATCCAAGAAAACTTGTGTTAGTTTAGATTTTAAAAAAAGATGAAAAAAGGCATGTTCTTTGTAATTTTGCAAAATATACTCTTTAACCGCATGAAAGGTACTCCCTGTTGTTAATTGTTTATTTGACTTCCTCGTTTTCAGATGACTGAAGGTTTTGACAGATTTTTCTGAGCACTTGGGGTCTAAAGAAAGTAATTTAAACAACTGTTGTTGAGACATTTCATTCCGAATCTGCTAAACAGAGGCAGACAGAGGATGATGACAAGTGGTTGTCCTGCCCCTGCTAACATAACTCCTGGCTACACCCATGCTTAAAATGCTTTGTGCCTTTTCCTTGATCTATAATGCAAATGTTAAAGCTATGTTGGGTAGTATCCCACAAATGCGTCCCATCAGCACAAGGATTTGCACTTGTTCAGTGGAATGTGTCTCTTGTGTGGTGTAGTGGTTAAGAGCGGTAGTCTCGTAATCTGGTGAACCGGGTTCGCGTCTCCGCTCCTCCACATGCAGCTGCTGGGTGACCTTGGGCTAGTCACACTTCTTTGAAGTCTCTCAGCCCCACTCACCTCACAGAGTGTTTGTTGTGGGGGAGGAAGGGAAAGGAGAATGTTAGCCGCTTTGAGACTCCTTAAAGGGAGTGAAAGGTGGGATATCAAATCCAAACTCTTCTTCTTCTTCTTCTTCTTCTTCTCCTCCTCCTCCTCCTCCTCCTCCACCTGTATGTACCTCCTGCCCTCCCCAGATCTGTTCCAAAGGGGTTGGAGGAACTCCTCAAGATTTGAGGGGCAAGGGGGAGAGGGGGAATGTTCCATTGAGCAAGCATAAATCCTTGCGCTGATGGGATGCATTAGTTGGATGCTACCTGTTATCCTTGTTCATTTATGCATAGATGGCTCAGTTTTGCTTGTTGTTCAGGAGGTGAAGGCTTGGTTCACACCAATCAGGTGTATGGTTGCTGACTGTCTACATCCAGTGTTGAGATCAGTGGTCCACATGAAGACCTGCTAGCCAGACAGCAACTGCATGTTTGCATGGTGCAGAATTAGCCACCTTTTTCCTCCCCTGGTGTTTTTCTTGTCCCTTGATCACTATGCAGAAGGAGCAGCTGTGAACCATACCCTCTGCCACCACTAGTTTTCACTTCTCACATTGCTGCTCAAAGCTCTCAGATCCCAACAGAATCTCTTTGCGTGGTGATGATGAGCCAGACCAGAGGATTAGGCTGAGTGCTTCCAGCCCACCGTTATGAAAAAGGTGTCAGTTTGTGAATGGATGATTGATAAAAAAAGAAACATGTTGCATCATGAGTTTGATATTGAACAACCATTTGTTGGCACCTAGCAGTTTAAATAGTTATACTTAGCATTTACAGGCAGGTCGTATATCCACAGCAGTGACCAGAGGAATGACCACTAGGAGGAGTGCAGAGAGAAGAAATGTCATGGCGCACCTGTAGCAGCAAAACCAGACACCTTCATCTGCCCCACCTGCAATAAAACATGTCTCTCCCGTGTCGGTCTCTACAGCCACAGCAGAAACTGTAACTGTCCAATGGTTTGACTTTACTCCTTAAGGCTCCCTCTTCCATTGTCTCCCGAGATAGACAGATGCCAACAACATAGTGTTTGTATGTTCTTCATAATGGCTTTTAATTTATTTATTTTTGGACTTCTTATTCATAGTAGTGCATCATTTTCAGATTAGGCTGTACACCACTCTGGGTGCTTTTAGCAGGCAAGTTGATATTATTGATAACACCACAATATGAGAAGAGGATGTTATCCCCATATTGTGGATGCTTGCCAAAGGAAACCTAGAACTATATAATTAGAAGGGATTTTGGAGGTCATCAGGTCCAAATGACTACAGCAGAATCCTCTGCATGTTTACTCAGAAGTGAGTGTCACTCTATTCAGTAGGACTTCCTTCTGCATAAGTGTGCATAGGCTTGCACTCCTACTGAGTTCATAGTAAAGGTGAGATTTAAAACAGAAATGCCCTAATTTGTAGTGCAGATTCTTAGTCATTAGACTTCAGAAGCTTTCCTGACTCTTGTTCAACTGTCAGGTTCTGTGTCATACATCCAGTTGCTCTCTTCTGTTAATTATTACGGGAATTGCTGTCAAAGCTGAGAACAATTGTAGGTAGCAACAATCCATTTATGGCACGAGAAGCAGGAAGCAAAATATTGTGAATCATCTCTCTGGCAAGTTTACACGCGATAGGCAAAGAATGCACCTACAGCCGGAAATTTCCCAGGAGAAAGCTTTTATGCAACAGGGCGGCTTTGCATCATTGCAACCCAGTTCTCATAATATATACAAAGGGCAAACATCTGTACCTGTCATTTCACCTACTTTCTTGCTCTCCCAATTCTTTCCTAATATCACTTAACTTGAGGATCCTGTGAGGGTAACAACAACAACAACATCAACATCAATTGTAAACCGATCTCAGGTGCCACGTTGACCATGATTCAGAAAGTGTGGAAATAGTATGTATTTCCTGCCTAGTGCTTCCAAAGCCACACCTTGATATATTGACCCACTTTTGCTTCTCAGAAATTATACAAGATTTCCTAAGCTGCCTGAAAACTGGGTGTCTACATCCTGTAGGATTATTTCAAAACAGCGGCTGACTCATGGCCCTTTCTAATGTTATAGATGCCCCCAAAGTATGTGGAGACAGGATTGAGTGCCCCCCAATCTTGATGGGCTGGGCCTCACCAACGGCGGGCCTCTCCACAGTGATGGAGGGCATCACTGGGCCTCCATGCTGTGGCAGAGGGCCCCTCCAGGCTTTGCAGCCTCCTCCTGATGCATGTGACATCACGTGTGTGTCGCAGTGTGACGTCATGCTCATGCAACGAGCCCCCCATGTTGGGCAGAACTCGGCACGTATGCTTGCAGTGGTTTCCCACACAAATGGGCTGACAAGATCCATACCAAGTTGGTGTCACCAATGTTCCCATGCATTTACATTTTTTAAAGGATCGGTGAGTGGCTGGCTATACATAAAATGTTATGTGGGAAATTGCAATCCACCTACTTAAAATGTTTGTATCCTGTGTGCCTGACCGTTTTAAGTCTGAGTTTTATCCATCACATATTGCCTACTTCTTTTAAATTTGCTTTCTTCGATGTGGTGAGGCCTACACCACATCCTGTGGAACTTTAGCTTTCAATACTTTTCTTAGACTGACATTCTCTCACACCTCATACTTGGAATGAATGGGTCGGCAAGCACACAAACATGTCACTCTCTTGATGACTATATTAAAAACTGTTGACTGAATCTGGTCTAGATTTCTCTCTGACACATAAGCTCCTCTTTCCCCCTTCCCCAAAAATATCAGGGCTTGGTCACATGGTGTGCCTTGAACCAGAACATTCAGGTTTATTTATTTAAAGCATTTTGGCCCGCTCCAGAGAGGCTTAGAAGTAAGTAGTAAGAGTTCTGCCCTCGGACTTACAACCTAAGGAAACATGACACATAAGGAAAAAAGGATGAGGAGGGAGAACAAAAGAAGCAAGATTATGCACCACTTCTCTTCTAATGTGTCACACCTTATAAAGACCAACTGGGACTGAACCCGTTCAGGTTGCCTGATGGGAAAGGCTGCCACCAAGTGACAGTTAATGGGTAGCTAGTCTCTCAGCAGAGGCATTAGAATAGCCCTGCTTTGCCTCTCTGCAGAGTGCTGGAAGTCAGGGAATTAGGTTGTCCAGGTTTTGTCAATGTAGGGAACTTGAACATCAGAATCTGCCTTATGCGGACTCCATCCAGCCCAGCACTGTCTACATTGACAGGCAGTGACTCCCCAGAGCTTTCTCCAGGAATTGAACCTGGGACCTTCTGCATTCAAGGCAGATGTTCTACCACAGAGCTGCAGTGCTTTCCCATCCATAGAAGAGCTGCCAGCGAACACCAACATACTTCTTAACACCAATTCACCTATCTGCACCAGGTGGAATTTTTTTGATTCCGATAAAGTAGGGTGTGCAGTATCTCCTGATAGAACTTGGGGGAGTTGCAGTAGATGCCAAGATTGTCTAACCACCAAAATACTTCATTAGGTTGCCATAATAGAAAAAGCAGGAGTTTGGGTGGGTGGAACCATGAGGGGATTGTGCAGAAAGTGTCCTGTTCCTTGACCCTAAATGTATATCCACCTGGCTGCCGCAGTCCACTTTTTCACATCTCGTTTCGGTTGGTGGTAGTAAAAAACCAAAGTAAGCTGAAATCTGCCTCCCTATGCTGTAAAGGCTTCAGGATGAGGTCTGCTGTTCTGAACAATCAGGAGGTTTTGCTCTGCAGTATATGGGTTACCATGTTCCCTCATTTTAATAGGAGCTGGGGGTGGTTGACAACAAGCAACAAAGGAGCAGCTTCTGTCCTTTTCCTCTTGACATTTAAAAGCTGCATGGTCAGCTAGGAAGAGCCTTTTCTCCTTTGTCGACTCCACCCTTAATAGATGAAGTCCCTGCCTTCTGCATAGGATTGTTTTTGGAGGATGAGGGGTACATATCAGTACCAAGAGATGCTCTGAAAGCTGATAGGCTTTGATGACTACAGGGTCAGTCCAGCAGCTCCCTGCTCTTGCTTAAGCAGCCATCCAGATCTGCTCCAAATCCGCCATGTTGTACTTGTCACAGAACCTCCTTGAACAAAGCTTAGTCCTTTCCCAATTGAACTGCTTTCTGAGCTGGCTCAGGGACCCCCCCTCCAAAGTTGATGGGTATTGCTATCAAAAAGAACATTGGAGGGCCCAAAGTTGCCTTGGCCCCTAGGAGCCGGTGCCAACCCACATTTGCCTCTGGCTGCACCCATGAGTGGCCTGTCCCGTTTTGCCGCCTGAGGCAAAATGGGAATTGTTGCCTCATGCCCCCATCCCCTGTGCTCCCCAACTTCTGCATCTGGAATGTCCTGGCTGTCACCAAACTTGGCAAGAGCCAGAGTGTTCCACAAAGCGTTGCCGCTGGGCTTCTCCGCCCGGGGATGGGGGAAATGAGGGGCTATGTTGCACACCGGAATGTGTTCTTCTGGCGGTGGAAGCAGTGGGGCCTCTTGCACTTCCGCTACCTGAGGCGGGTGCTTCACCCTACCTCATGAGTGGGCTGGCTCTAGCCCTGCCCACCGCTGGCGTGCAGCTCTGGGAATCTCGCCCTCAAGGAAACGCAGCCCTCGAGCTGAGAAAAATGTTCCCCATCCCTGCCTCTGTTAATAAAGAGGGAGAGGGACAGAGATAGAGAGACAGAACTGCTGATCTATGTGTGCTAGTAGGAATCAGTTGAGTGCCATGGATACAGGAATGGTAACCTGTCTCCTGCTTTCCCCCATTCTGCTTTGTACTGTGATATTTTGAATACAAAGGTGGGAAGGGAAGAGCAGCAACCGTGCCCTCTAGAGGCACAACGGTTTCTTGCAGCCTTTGGCATTTTGGAGGGTCTCTATGAAATCATCAACAAAAGCCACATCATTTTTTTGTCATGATGACAGCAAATGTATATTTTATTATATCATGCATGTACTTATGCATAAATATGTATGTGTGCTTGAATATTCTTGGCCAACTTTACTGGATATAGCAATACGCATAGTGTTTTGCGGAAATAATTAAATGAGGGTGCGGGAAAATGGTCCGTAGGTTACCAGGCATAATGCAGAAACAAGTTTTAAATAAACAGCCAAGGTCCAAATGAATCAAAACAACATTCTCAAGTTTGGACAATGTAGTTCGTTTAAGTATGTGGATATTTGAAACATAGGAAGCTGCTTTCTACTGAGTCAGACTATTGGTCTATTTAGCTCAATATTGTCACACTGACTGGCAGCAGCTTTTCAGGCAGGAGTCCTTTCCAGTCCCACCTGGTGATGCTGCGAATTGGACCTGGAACCTTCCACATTCAAAGCGGTTGCTCTTCCCATTTACTCCAAGGCAAAACTGCACCAGCTTCACTTGGTTTTACCCCCTAGTAAGTGTGAATGAGATTGTAGCCTGAATCATGTGGAAGCACTTAGAGCCCTGTGCCTCCCAAAATGTTACTTTCTCTCATTTAAATAGGAGACTAAACAAAGTTATACATGAGCTGAAATGCCATAAACAGTTACTGCAGCAACATCTTCCTGAGGATAATTTATTTCAGATTTAAGAAGGGGAGGGCCAAGATTCTCAGAAAGGTTTAAATGCCCTTCCTTGGATATACCCAAGATCACAAGGCAGCAAAGAAGTGCGTTTTCTCTGTTGATGTGTTTGCATTGGTATGCCCCATATTAATGATAGCAATGTTACCAACGCAGGACAAACAGGAACTCTTCCCCAACATCATCGCAATTGGATTTTTGCCTTGGGCATGTACGACTACTAGTGGGGTTTTGGACTGGGCAGGGAGGGTGAGGAAATGGTTCATAAGTCCTGCTCAGCCATGAAGTTTAAGAAGAATCCTGGTGGATCTCTAACAAAAGACCCATCTCAGTCCAGCATCCAGATGCTTATGGGAAGCCCAAAAGCAGAATCATAAAATCAGAGTTGGAAGGGACCGTTGAGGATAATCTAGTCTCACCCCCTGCAATGCAGGAATATGCAGCTGTCCTGTATGGGGATCAAGCCTGTGACCTTGGCATTATCAGCAGCACCCTGCTCTAACCAGGTGAGTTACTCAAGAGCAACAATACTCTCCTGATCCTGTTACCTGATCATCTTTCGTCAATCATTCTTTCAGAGCATCAGAGAATTGTAGAGTTGGAAGGGACCTCGAGGGTCATATAGTCCAGCCCTGTGCGATGCAGGAATCACAGCCAAAGCATCCCTGACAGATGGTCATCCAACCTCCAATGAATAAGAGTCCACCACTTTCCAAGGGAGTTGGTTCCACTGTCAAACAGCTCTCACTGTCAGAAAGTTCTCCTTACTATTTAGTCTGAATCCCCTTTCTTGTAATTTGAATCCATTGGTCCGGGTCCTGCCCTCTGGAGCAGGAGAAAACAAGCTTGCTCCATCTTCCATGTGACAGCCTTTCAGATATCTGATAGCCTACCTCACAGAGTTGTTGTCCGCCTGGATAAAATTGGAGGCAGGAGGAAGGACCTTGCATGCTATTCTGAACTCCTTAGAGAGAATATGGGATAACAAGTTAAAAAAATAAATAAAGGGAAAGCCCTTTGTTCACCAGCAATAAATACTTGGCCTCATAGATACGGAAGCAATGGGTTAGCTACAATAATTACATGGGGTGGTTCCCCTGATATGAACTAATTAAGAAATCTGCTTCAATGGAAAGGCATTGTAATAAGAATTATAAACACTACATTTACAAATGCTTATATTGTGCATTCTGAAGCATGCAGAGTCAGCATTCTTTCCGAAACGCAAGAAGGGTGGGTCTTGGCTCAGTGTTACAGCATTGGCTTTGCATGCAGAACATCTCAATTCAACCCCCAGCATCTCCAGGTAGGGCTGGGAGAGCCAGTGTGGTGTAGTGGTTAAGAGCGGTAGACTCCTAATCTGGGGAACCGGGTTCACATCTCCGCTCCTCCACATGCAGCTGCTGGGTGACCTTGGGCCAGTCACACTTCTCTGAAGTCTCTCAGCCCCACTCACCTCACAGAGTGTTTGTTGTGGGGGAGGAAGGGAAAGGAGAATGTTAGCCGCTTTGAGACTCCTTAAAGGGAGTGAAAGGCGGGATATCAAATCCAAACTCTTCTTCTTCTTCCTACCTAAATCTCTTGGGAGTCACTGTCAATACTGAGCTGGAGCAGGGTTTCAAAAACTTGGGTCTCCAACTATTTTTGGACTACTGTTCCCAGCATCCCTGACCACTGGTTGTAGTCCAAGACCAGCTGGAAACCCAGGTTTGGGAAACCGTGAGCTAGAGGGACTAATGGTCTGACTCAGTGTAAGCTGTGTGGCTGCATACACGCCATACATTGAAAGCACACTGAAAGCAAATCCCCCACCCAAAAAATCCTGGGAACTATCTTGTTAAGTAGTGATGTACGGAAGTGAGAGCTGGACCATAAAGAAGGCTGATCGCTGAAGAATTGATGCTTTTGAATTATGGTGCTGGAGGAGACTCTTGAGAGTCCCATGGACTGCAAGAAGATCAAACCTCTCCATTCTTAAGGAAATCAGCCCTGAGTGCTCACTGGAAGGACAGATCCTGAAGCTGAGACTCCAATACTTTGGCCACCTCATGAGAAGAGAAGGCTCCCTGGAAAAGACCCTGATGTTGGGAAAGATGGATGGCACAAGGAGAAGGGGACGACAGAGGACGAGATGGTTGGGCAGTGTCCTCGAAGCTACCAGCATGAATTTGACTAAACTGCGGGAGGCAGTGGAAGACAGAAGTGCCTAGCGTGCTCTGGTCCATGGGGCATAGCTGTCAAGTGTCCCTTATTTGAAGGGACAGTCCCTTATTCCAGCGCCATGTCCCGCTGCTGTCCCTTATTGATGGATGTCCCTTAAATGATGGCCCTCAAATTTCAAAGGAAGCAGCTCCTCTCCCTCCCTGCCGGCCAGGGAGGAGGGAAGCTCCAACTATGTTGCTTGGCTGTGTTGCTCACCCAATAAGAAGTCTAAGAACGACTGAGGGGTGGAGTTTGCATGCCTTGTGTGTGGCTAGTTAATGCAAGCTGAGGGGTTTTTTGAATGCTGGACACCATTTTGTTGCACGTGCTGCTGCAAACTTTGCAGTGCAAAGCCAGGCCGGGGAGCCATCTTAAGTTGAGGCTGCATAGGCCTTGTGGTACATGTGATTCAGATTCTATTCAGTTGAACCTCTGGTTACAAAGTTGGTTGGACAGTGTTCTCGAAGCTACCAGCATGAGTTTGACCAGACTGCAGGAGGACAGGAAGACTGGAGTGCCTGGAACAGGTGAGGCTGCAGGTCCC